CAGTCTGCCCCTCCCATTGGATCCGTTGGGGCTCTACCTTCAGTACCCACTAGGAGGTGTCTGCTCCAGGCTGCTGATGACCAGGCATCCCAAAGAAGGGGCCTCTTCCCTGGGCAGCAGTACCCAGGAACCACTGCTGCCCTTTCCCCTTGCCGGAGGGCCCCTGCCCTGGCTTTGCACCCCACCACCCCCGGCCACTCCCAAAGCCCCTGCCCCTCTGTCTACCCACTATCCCTGAGGTGGCCCCCAGAATTCCAGCCTGGCAGGAAGGGGATGGCCCATGCCCTCTGTCCCGGGGCCCTGGAGCGGGCTGGCGGCCCAGGTCTGCCTACCTTCTGGCCGAGGAAGAGACTCTTGGTAGAGAGAACCGTGAAGCCATCGGTGGGCGTGCCCTCGGTCGTGCTGTCTGCGCTGGCCGCCTTGCTGACTTCTCCCTGCTTCTTCTTGCACAAACAGAAGAGTCAGGACGCGTGCTCCTGAGCAAGCAGGGCCACAAAGGCCTGGGTTTTCCTAACCAAGAGGCCCTAAGACCTTGCCCACCCTGTGAGAACACGGGAAATGAAACACAGCTCTGGGCATTTCTCCCCACAGGGGCCACACGCTGACTTCAGGGACAAGAGTTCCGTGAAGGGTACGAAATTTTCAAACCACTTCATAACTGCTTTTGTGTGTGTGTGTGTGCCATCCCTGGGGTTTTAACTCAGAGCCTGAATGCTATCCCTGAACTTTTTCTTTTCCTGCTCAAAGCTAGCACTCCACCTCTTGAATCACACCTCCATGTATGGCTTTTTGCTCGTAAAGTAGAGCTAAAGAATCTCATGGTCTTTCCTGCCTGAGCTGGCTTTGAACCACAATCCTCAGATCTCAGCCTCCTGAATAGCTAAGATTATAGGTGTGAGCCACAGACACCCAGCTCCGTAATTTTTTTTAATAAAAGCTGCTTAGAATTTGACAGTGATAATTGAGAACAGAATCATTTTCAGTAATTCAGACCAAGGAAATGTTTCTCCAGGTTTTTCCTTCCTAGATGTCTGCCTGCTCTAAAAATTTAAGAAGAACATAAACTGTTTTTAGGTCCTCCATTCTAAAAGGCCCGGCAAGCACCCAAACAAGTCTCCGACCTTCCCCACCCCAGAATCGGCGACGCTGTTCCACGTCCCTGGGGAAGCTGCCGTGAAGAGGGCGGCCCCCTCGGCGGAGGTGTGGACCTCAACCCTCTCTTGGGTCTCTTCCTTGGTGGTTCTCAGACTATACCCAGGTCCTAGAATTCCCCAGGGCCGCCCAGGGCCACGTGGCCCAGATCCTCAGCTCTGGGGCGTCTTCTCCAGCACACGAGCCGTTCCAGAGGGCTCCGGGCTGGGTGGAGATGGCACCTGCCTCCTTTTATAACTCCCTCCTCCTGCTGCCCAGAGCCAACACTAATAGGGCTCAGTGCCCTGGGGCGGGGGGTGGGAAAGCATGCTTCTTGCATGCTTCTGTTGAAGATGATGCCTGTAGTAACTAAGGACGTGTCATTCATTTGGGGACTTCTTGAATACACAGAAGAGATGGTACTGGGAAATGGCGATTGAGTGGGTACTGGAGGAGAGAAAATGGGGGAGGAGTGCAGCTCAGTGGTAGAGCTTTCCTAGCATGGACAAAAAGGCTCTGGGTTCAATCCCCAGCACCAGGATTGTAGGGTGGAGAGTACAGATGGCTGGGCCTTCCAGAAGGATACCCCTGGCCAGTAAGCTCAGAGCAGGGCCTGTGCCTCATCCATTTGCCTGTGTAGGGCTCAAGTTCATTCACGTCAGTGTGTCAGCAGTTGTACTCAACTCAAAAAATAACACCCAATTTTGCCGACTGCTGTAACAGCAAAGCTGGCTTTGGCAGGCAGGTTTTATACCTGACATTTTCCATGAATTAAATGAGCTGCTCTGAACCTCCACGACGCTGGCATATGACAAAAATCCCGCTATCAAGAAATACAGTACGGGCGAAGATAAATTATTACTATGCTGATTTTTCTAATACTTTGAAGGTATTGCTCTGACCCATGAACTCCAAATAGGTCTACTCAACGATTACCTGCTAAGTCCTAGTAATAAGCCTTTTCTGACACAGTTTCCAAGAACCAAGAAAGGGAAAGGCTGGATCATAAGCCTTCCTCAATGCGGGTGTTTTAAATTCCACACACTGAATAACAATGAGTTAACTTCCAGGAGACAGTAGCAGTGAAAAGCAGGCTGATGGGTTTGGTTAGCAAGAATGTCCCACGTGCCACAGTTATTTGGGACGTTAATCACACAAACTTGGGGGAGAAGTATTTACGATCTCCCAGCTTCTGTAAATAATAGGTGGGAATAAATAAAAGCAGACACTAATATTCTAGTAGCTATAGTATCTATCGCCATCAACGTGAGCAGATTCCTTACTTCTGTAGACCCAGGTGGCTCACACCTGTTATCCTAGCTACTCAGGAGGCCGAGATCTGAGGATTATGGTTCAAAGCCAGGCAACAAAGTCTGTGAGACTCTTACCTCCAATTAACTACCAGAAAACCAGAAGCGGCACTGTGGCACAAAGTGGTAGAGCCCTGGACAAAAAAAGCTGAGGGACAGCACCCAGGCCCTGAGTGCAAGCCCCATGACCAAAAGAAACAAAAAACACTAAAAAACAAAGTTGGTGAAGTTTTTTACTTCATAACTTTTTCATGACCAAAGACAGAACTCACTGAACTGTCTTTGTAACCTTTCTACAAAAATCTAGTTGTTCTAAAATAAAACGTTTCCTAAATCGAGGCGAGATTACATGACTCACATCAGAGAACATAGAGAACTAAATGGTATTACAACAAAACTCCTTGCCATTTAATTGTTTTAGAGAACAGATCTCCCAGATATTAGGTATTGATACTTATAAGTATCAGTAATTAGAAGGAAAAAAAATCTATTCCTACTCACCCTGCTACAAGAAGTTTCCCCAAGAAAGCTTTACTTTTTCTTTAAAACTTCCTATAATTTGTAATGCTTTTGTTCATGTAACCAAGTGTTTATTACTAACAAATGTGTTTATTACCCATCTTGGGAATCTATATCATTTCGTATGTTTACGTGTGGTCACAGGATTTTTTTTCAAGATACACTGACATCTGTGTATACTGTTTTGTTGCCGCAATCAGTTTTAAAAAAGCCATAAATTATATGAGCTATCACTCCCTCCTTAGCTCTCCAGTGTCCTCCTCAAGACAGAAATGACTGTAAGCACAACAGTGTGTCACTGGAATGAAAAACATGTATCTACTATTTTTAAAAAAAAGTTTCTTTGTATATTTAGTAATGGGTAGTAGCATACCTAGTGGGACTAGTTGGATTCCACTGTATACATTTAAAAAATAAAAGGTTTTAGCCAGGAACTGGTGGCTCACGCCTAGCTACTCAGGAGGCTGAGATTTGAGGATCGAGGTTCAAATCCAGCCCGGGGAAGGAAAGTTCCTGAGACTCTGATCTCCAATGAACCACCAGAAAACGGGAAGTGGCGCTGTGGCTCAAGTGGTAGAGCGCTTGCCTTGAGCTGAAGAGCTGAGGGACAGTGCCCAGGCCAGAGTTCAAGCCCCACAACTGATTTAAAAAAAAAAAAAAAAAACTCTTATGGACTTTCTTTCCCAGGCTGATTTTGAACTGCTTCCTAAGTAACTTACAGGTGTGAGCCACTGGCACCCAGCACAAAAACTTCTTAAATTCTCTCAGACCAGGTACCTGGTGTTTATGCCTAGTAGGTACTCAAATGGCTGAGATGTGGAGGAACAGGGTTTGAAGCCAACCTCAGCAGGAAAATCTAAGAGATTCCCTCTCTAACCAGTAAAATATCAGACTAAGAGGGGCGGTTCAAATGGTAGGGGCTCCAGCTGTGAGCAAAAAAGTCACAAGAGACACAAAGCCCTGAGTTCAAGCCCTGTTACTGGCACCAAAAAAAAAAAAAATCTTTCAGGAGGCAGGCAAGCGACAAAGCTTGAAAACCGCGATGCTATGCAGTGAGTCGCGTGGCACCTGCCTGTCTCCCGTCTCTCTCCTCTGCACTGTCACCCGACTGTCTTGGTAAAAGGCACCCATTTATTTCTGCCACAGCGCTTGCTGCACCCTCCCCTCTACCGCGCTCACTGAGCCCTGAGGGAGACGGGAACTTGGTGCTGACTGCAGTGCTTGTACCAAGAACAGTACCCGCGTGTGCAGTTCCGGAAGCGGACATTCTGTAAACCGCTCAGAATCAGATGGTAAATGGAAGGGGCAGCTTTTGAAATGTATTAATGGGGTTAAAATAATATGCAAGTAATAACCATCAAGACTACATACATACACACACACACACACTACAGAGACACTGACGCGTGAGCACGGGCGGTGTCCGGTGACACGCAGTGTCAGGTCTGGCTGTACAGCGCTCATGCACAATGCAGGCATCCATGGCCTCCAGTGCAGCACCACGTGTTCCCATGGGCAGAGAGAGGGAAGCACTGTCGCCTGCGGGCAGCACAGCGCCCATGCCCAACCCTGCCTCCCGCCCCAGCTTCTTACGGGACATCTCTTTTAAGTCTATCACCACCCGGGTGTATTCTTACAGAGGAGGAAGCACCACCAGAGAAGTAACTTCCCACGGTCACAGAACTCAACTACAAGGCCAGGTTACTCACGCAAGAACTTGCATTCTACTCCCCGAAGATACACTGCTAGGCCTGTGCTTTATATGTCTATTTACAGCGGGTAGAACGGGAAGGGTTCATCTATTGAGTACTACCTGTACTGACTTTCTGCAAAGACTTAAAAAACTCAGGACTTTCTGGAAAGACTAAAAGTTCCTGACAGAGCAACTCTGATCACGTATTTTTTGTGTGTGTACAGTCCAAACGTACACATATTTCTTGTCTGTGCACACACACATGCACTAGGCCTCGCCGTTGAACTGTGGACTGGAATGGACGTTAGCATCTTATGGGCTAGTGGTAGACTGAGGCAGAGAGAGGGAGGAGACTTTTTTGAGGCCACCCAGGTGGGAAGGAGGACCCCCGGGCACAGCCGAGACCCCGGCCTCGCAGCCCCTGTGGGGTTTGCTGCGGTCTGACCGTCCTGGTGCTGGCTGACGCAGTCATCACCACTGGACATTTTCAAAACTGTCAAATCACATAGAATTGAGAGGGAAATTAGGATTTGGAATTTGAGTGTTGACACTTGAAAAATACCAACTCCCTTCCACTACAAGTGCTTCAGCCTGTTTCTGAGTGCTTCAGTGTGTTTCTGAGGCTTTCTCTGTATGTCCCTGGAAAGGTTATTTCCAGAATGTTCCACTTAAGCCTGGAGATGCAGGGTTCTCCGCTGATTCTGGGAGCTGACACCACAATTTACATTAAACAAATGTTTTGAAAATTAGCTGTTCACAGTTCCAATTTCAGCTCCCCCCAGGGTTTAATGTTAGCTAAGCTGTGGTACAGTAAGCAGACAATGTGTTTTATTGTGCGGAAGAAAAACAGACCACCACTACAGACTTCCTGCTTTTGTAATCAAGGGAAAAGTTGCGCGTTCAAGTGATTACTGGCACATGAGTACTAGAAACACCGAGTTCCAAACATAGCCGAAGACACACACACGGTTTCAAGTCAGGGAAAGGAAGAAAAAAAAAAAAAAGACTCCCAGTGTTTGGTAGGCTGGAAAGTTCAGGACAAAATCTACTTGGAAAAGTGGGGGGTGGGGTGGGGGGATCAAAGGCCAGGTTTGCTGCAGAGGCTCAAAAATCCCAGCAACTTGAACGTGGAAGAGGGCAAAGGCGCGGACCCGGTGAGATCAGGGCTAGGCTGGGCTCCCGGCTCGGCCGCTGCTGGACCCCGGCACCGGCACCGAGGGCCAGGGGCCCTGGCTCGGGGGACAGCCGGGCTCCGGGGGGCTGTTTTCAAGAGTCTGGCTTTGGCATCTGTGTGGCTATTAACACTGGAAGGGCTGCACAGGCCCCCTGCCCCGCCCTGCCTGCACTTCCACCCTCTTGTTTTACAGCTAGCAGGACCGAGTAGGGGAGCGTTCTGTGCAGTCCCTGCCTGGCCAGCCCGACCTCCGCCAGGACTCGTGAGGGAGGGGGAATGCGATGCTGGCTGCACCTCGAGATGGAGTCACTCTTCACGAGCGAGCCAGGCGTGGCTCTGGGCCCAGGGAGGGAGGGAAGGAGGGGGCGTGGACAGGGATCAGCTTGGTTTCTTTTAGCATCCAGAAGAGCGTGCAAGGAAATACGGCATCCTGCACGTCAACTAGCGCGGGCTGTTCTACAACAGTGGAACAGAGAACGTGGCTGAGGTCAAAGCAGGTGCCGCACCTGGGGTGAAAAGGTGGGCTGGGGGGGGGGGCAGGCAGGGGAGAGAGCTCAGCAAGTCTGGTCCTCCCCTCTAGGCCCTGCTGGCCAATGTTTCCCATCCGTGGGGAGGTCCCCTGTGAAGCCCCGCCCACCCTCCCCATCGTCCCTCCCAGACCACGCACATACCTTGGATTTCCGGGCCCCTTTCTTGCCTCCCGCCTTCTTGGACACGGGCTTCTTCTGGGATGGAGACTTGGCCTTTTTGGCCGGGGGTGGAGTGATGATGGCTTCCAGCTTCCCTTTGGACCCACGCTTCTTCGCTAGCAGCTCGGGGTGGATGTTCGGCAACACTCCCCCGCTGGCTATGGTGACTCCTTTGAGCAGCTTGCAGGAAAACCAAAGTAGCAGCTGGTGAGCCGGCCTGGCCCGCTCCTGACTCTGAGAAGTCAGCCTGGCGGGGCGCGTGCGCGCGCCTGCTGGCTCCGGCTGCCACTGCTGCTGCCTCACTGGTACCTGCAAGGGTGCTGACCGTACCGGCCCCGTGCAGAGATCAAGTCCTGCAGATCCCTCCCCCGGCAAGCCCGGGCTGCAATTTAGATCCTGTTATTCCTGGGGGAGAGCCGGCACCTTGTTTCAGTCCCTTCACCCCCCCCCATGAGGTGCCACGGGGAAACAGAGGCGGCTTGTGGTCCCAAACACAGTCCCCCAACGTGGCTGCCCGTGCTTGACTGGGGGGGGGTGATGAAAGAGCCCCCTACCTGATTTAGCTCTTCATCATTGGCCACGGCCAGCAGGATGTGCCGGGGCGTGACCCGTCCCTTCTTGTTGTCCCTCGCCGCGTTGCCAGCCAGCTCCAGGATCTCGGCTGTGGGGACAGAGGGGAGCACATGGTCAAGTCAGAGCACCGCGTGTCCCCGGTGCCCCCATTCCCAGGGAGAGGCGGGGGGCGCCGGCAGCCACCTTGGGGAGCAGCACCCTGAGGTGTGAAGCCGTGGCAGGGTCTCGCTGGCAATACTTAGGGCAGAGGAAGGCACAGAGGAGCTGAATGGCATAAAGGGAGACTTTGGGGCCTGGTGGGACCCTTTTGTTTTGGAGATGGGGGGGGGGCGCTGAGGGGAAGGGACCAGCTGGAGGGCACTGAGTGAGAAAGACCCAGCTCCAGCTCCCATTTTCTAGAAATGGCTGGCTGGCGGCTGGGACGGGCAGGGGTGTGGCCCTCGGGCGCACAGCGCCTCCATCTTCAGGCTGCTGTGTGTTTATGGGGCTGGGGGGCCTGAGGAGTCGCTGCTGCCTGAGTCCAAGATGAACACCCACACAACGGGGCCTGACCACAGCGCCCCACGCCAAGGAGCTGAGCTTCTGTGTCCAACAGTGCTGCTGCTCACTCGAGAAGCGAGCGGTGAGGCACCTTTGTGTCTGTCCCTACACTAATGGTGGCCACGTGTCAGCGGCGGTGTGGGAGGGTTCCGCTGGCAGAGGGCTGTGTCATCTGAACGACGAGCATGAGCCTCAACTCTACGTGAAATAAGCCAGGCGCAGGAAGGTGAACTAGTGCACAGTCTTACGAGTTCATCAAGTCTGAAAGGTGAAGTCACGGAAGCAGAGGGCAGAAAGTGGTCACCTCACTGCGGGAGGGGGAGGAAATAGGAAATGCTGGGCACCAGGCAGCAAGCCTCGGTCTCTCGGAAGAGTTTGTGATCTACCACAGAGAACGGGAACTGTAGTTGATCATGATTATTTCAGAATTGCAAAGAGAGTAGATTTTTTTTTTACATAGTCTCCACACCAAGAAATGAGCATGAGAGGACAGCTCTGCGAATCTATTCATCCTGTCACCTAGAAGCACACACGTACACGTGACAGCACACAGTGCACTACTCATACAGCCACTTGTTAAGTACAAATAAAAGCAGTGTTCTTTTTTTTTTGGTCAGTCGTGGGTCTTGAACTCTGGGCCTGGGCACTGTCCCTCAGCTCTTCAGCTCAAGGCGAGCGCTCTACCACTTGAGCTACAGCGCCACTTCTGGTTTTCTAGTGGTTTATTGGAGATAGGAGTCTCATGGTCTCTCCTGCCCGGGCTGGCTTTGAACCGCGATCCTCAGATCTCAGCCTCTTGAGTAGCTAGGATGACAGGCGTGAGCCACCAGCGCCCGGCTAAGCAGTGTTCTTTAGTATTCCACGTGGTTAGAATTTTTCAAAATAAAAGGCAAAACTCGAAGCCCATGAGCTTGGCCCATACACAGCTGGGGCCCCCACGGCTTACTTCTCTGTGGTCCAGAGCATTTAAAAGAAGCTGGGCACCGTGGCACACACCTGTCATCCTAGCCATGTGAGAAACACAAACCGAGGATCACAGTCCGGCCTGGCTTGGGGGAAGGGGAACAAGACTTGATTCAAAAAGACATAAATAACTAAAGCGTAAAGGCCTTGGGAGTGTGACTCAACTGGTAGAGTTCCCATCTAACAAGCAATACTGCCAAGAAGTTTAAAAACAAGAGCAAAACCCCTGCCAGGTCGGACCCTTACCACCACAGAATGAGCTCCGGGCTCTGTGGGAGAAGAGAAAGCTGTGTTCTGCAGGACATGAGGGAGGGGCACGGAGTCACACTCCAGCCGCCGGGCAAGCACTCACTCTTGCATTTTTCCAGATGGAGAGTAACCATGGCGACACTGTCACCAGGGGACACACAAGACCAAGCACCACACAGACGCGAGGTTCCACAGCCCAGCCTGCCCCCGCCCCGCAGCAGGGGAATCCCGCAGCATGCACTCGCCCCCGGCCAAGGGTCCCTCACACTGCCTGTCGTTCCCAGCCTGCGTAAGTAAAGGCCGTTCCTAGCCCGGCGAGGGCTGCCTGCCACCGTACAGAGTGCCTGCAATTAGTTTCCAACCTGCACCCCAAGGTGCCCTGGTATTCACAGGAGAAAGACTGGCAGGGAACGTGCACAGGGCACACGCCACCCAAGAAAAGACGGCCTGATGATATTCTCTTCCCAGCGATGACACTCTGCTTTGCCGATGACCTGGGGGCTGGGGGCTGGGGGAGGGCAAAGGCATGGAGGCTCAGGATTGTACAGGGACTTCTCCTGTCCCCAGGATGGACTCACAGCCCACCCGCAGGGATGCCCTGCTAGTGGACACCACGGCCAGCTGCCGCCCCCGCCCCAGCCTCGGGGCGCCTGCCTGGGCCTGCCCCGCGGAGGGGTTCCTACACACGGCTCATCGCACCGTTCCAAATGGTCTGGGCTTCTGTGCAATGTCTTGCCTCTGGCTAGTGGAAGGGAAAAGCGATTCTGAGAAAGAACTAGGAAGAATGCTAGATCTCTAAGCACAGACGCTTTGCTCCGTCATCTCCAGATTTCAAGCCCTACATCCACCCTGGGAGAGATTCCCAGGACACAGAGCTCTGGAAGGTGCAACTAAAACCAATGGAATCTGTAGGAAACCCACAGGAGACAGGGACAAGAGCAACCAGGAGGAACCCCAGGACCCCTCGCCAGCCCCAGGACCCTTCCCTCAACTGCCCCCCGCCCCAACAGCCAAGTCAGCTTAGCTAAGGGCAGTGTAACATCATGGCTAATGAACAACACTGAAGCCCAGAGCCTGGGGTCAGCTCTGGAGAAGATTCTAGGTGTGACAAGGTTCCCCAAAGGGGAAGAGGCCGAATGAGGTGTAGTGCTGGCCGGACACCAGCTATTCTTTTAGGGTACTTTTTTTTTTTTAGAATATGAATTGCAGGACACCCCAAGGCACCTCCTAGCTCCCAGTGCTGGCCTGGCCCATGTCCCATCTCCTGGGGTGGCCAAGACCAGTGACACCCCTTTCTTTCCTTACAGCCCCAGCGCTCGGAGACAGGCTGGGCCAAACGCTCCCAGTCTCACTGAACATCGTCATTTTAAGGCAACTTGACAAGATTTCCCACAGCCTTGGCAAGCAGCGGGATTTGGCAGTACTTTCGAGCACAGACCAGCTGTCTGTGAGCATGAATACCTTTGACAGGTCTACTTTCCAAGTTCATCCTGAGACCAAAGTCTCAGGGCTTTTTTTTTCCCCCCCTCCAAAAAAAAACAAAACCTGTCTCGAACTAAACGGTATCTGTTGTATGGAAGCATTTCATCCGCCTTCCTTCAGGGAGATGAAGTCATGGCTTGCAGAATTAAGGCTCCTAACCGCTAGCAGGTGATGTGGTGAGGCTGAGCCCAACTGCAAACACAAACCTTGCACAGGAAAGAATCTGGGCTTTTACAGAGTTCGTTTGAAGCGTTTCCTCTCACACACACAAAAAGAAGATTGGAAATAACAACCAGAAATCAAAGAGAGCAAATGGTTCACGTAATCCTAAGGAGAAAACATACTTGCTACAAAGCGAAGGGGGATCTGTCTACTGTCTTCCTCTCGATTCCGTCATCCTTCCATTGGCAGTGCATTGAGTTCAGGACTGTGTGACACCACTGCAACCCCTTCACCCCAACATCCCCCATCAGAGGGCGTCTGCTCGGTATGTGTTGTCTGGCCTGACCACACCTCGCCTGGCCTTGTCTGAGCAGCTTGGAGGCCCACAGTGTTTGCAACCTTATTCCCAAGTTCACTGTCCCCAGAGCAGCTTTTAGGAGGGGAGTGACCCAGACTGAAGGCTGGGGAGGCACAGCACGCACCGCCTCCCTCCCTCCCGCCCCGTCGGCCTGTCCCAGGCTGCAGAGGAACTGGACACTCCACAAAACCTAGAACGGTACTTTCTGTGCTGCGTGATCTCATCCCCTGCCGTCAGGAGGCCCAGAGGAGCCCCAGAGGCAGGGTCCAGTCCAGTCTCCCGCCCTCCCCAAAGTCTCCCCACAAGACAGAAATGCTGCTTAACTTACGCAAGTTCCTTGTTCTTCATATCTTAAGAGTTAAAAAGGAGTGTCAAGCCAGGTTCCGGTGGCTCACGCCTGTTAACACTAGCTAATTCAGGAGACTGAGATCTGAGGACTGTGGTTCAAAGCCAGCCCAGGCAGGAAAGTCCCTAAGACTCTTCTCGCCAATGAACCACCAGAAAACTGGACGTGGCGCTGTGGCTCAAGTGGTAGAGCGCTACCTTGATCTGAAGAGCTGAGGGACAGCGCCCAGGCCCACCCAGAGCTCAAGCCCCACGACCGACAGAAAAAAAAAAAAAGAATGTCACTTAATATTGGACAAAAGGGAGCTACTGTGACTGCTGGCCAACATGACATCACTGTAACCCACCAGCCTAGCCCTTCTCCACCTGTGCTTCTGCTCAGTGGCCTCCTCCACTCTCTATGGTTGACCCAGCAGTCAGAGCTGGGGCTGCAGTCATACACTGTCTGGGCACACAGCTCCCGCTCTTCGCTGGGAGACGTGGACAAGACACGGCCATCTACAAAGTGGAGACCGACGTTATGTCTCAGGGCTGTGAAGATGGAGTAAAATGCTTAGTGTACTTGGTAAATGCAGACAACTCTCCAGCAATGCTTCAACTGCACCCCTTCCTTTAAAAGTGGGGGAGGAGCAGTTGGACACGATCTGAGGTTCGTGGTTCCAAGCCAGCCCAGGCAAAAACTTGTGTGAGTCTTATCTACGATTAACTATCAAAAAGACATAAGTGGAGCTGTCACTCAAGTGACAGAACTCCAGCCGTGAGTGGAAATGCTAAGGAACAGCACCCAGGCCCTGAGTTCAAGCCCCAGTAGTGGTATGCAGACACACCCGTGAATGCGCGTGCACACAAACAGACACATACATACAGACACAAGCCCAGCAGCCTTGATTAGTAGGGGAAGAAAACTAGACTTCCTCTCCCTCAGCTTCCTCTGTGTAAATAAATGGGTGGACGTATTGATGTGTGTGAGGCGCAAGCAGGAGAAAAGC